ATATATAGATGGTATAACCCACCCACCCCTTTCATTTCACAGCATCCAGTGTATACAACACAGGCATCTTAGCCTCAGGTTATTATCATATATGTAAAAATAAAGTCCTTAGGGTATTTCCTTAGGGTATTGAATACTATGTTCTCTCCTGAACCTTAAGTATTCCAAGTGATTTTTATTTCCAAGTTTAATATATATTTTAGGCACAGCCTCTTTCAGTATGCAGTGAGAGCTGTAATCCTGGTTATAGGAAGGAAAAGAAAGAAAAGGAGCCATTCTGCTGTTATAATTGCGTTCGGTGTTCAGAAGGGATGATCTCTGATGGTCAAGGTGAGAGTTTTGCAGTATAACCAAATGGTTTGGCTATAATCTGCCTGCAAGATCATCAGTACGCAAGGTTTATTGGATTATGTCTCCTATGTACTTTTTCAGCACTGTTTTAAATTAAAAATTAAAAACCAGGCCTAGGTGTTCAGGAGAAATAGAGTGGGGTGTTGTATATTAGTGGCACTTCACTCCAAAGTTCTCGATTACCCCTCCCAGTGGTTTCATGTAGATGTTAAATGGCTTGGGGCATATAAGATGAAATCTTGGGGGACCATGTGAGGCAAGGCACCCTGTTTCCTCCCAAGGGTTAATGTGAATATTAGTGGACCTGGTCCAGCATTGCAGGTCTCTGTGATGAATCCATCTTGTCCACAGGCTCTTATCTCTTTCAAGACCAAAGTCAGGGATGTGGCAATCAGTTCTTCCTGAAAACATGCAGTTCATAAGGTGTGTGTGTGGGGGGGGGGGAGTGATGCAGGAATCTTCCAGGGAATTCCTGTGAATGTGGGCCATGACTGGATTTGCAGCATCCAGAGGGCCAAACAGTATAATTGAGCTAGAAATCAAGGGAAGGGGACTACTGCCTTGGTGATTTTACCAGACAGAGATGTGGACTATGTTGAACTGTAGACGAATGCTTAAACCTCTGTTTTTGGACTCCATAAGTCTGTGACTGTACCATCTAATGTCAAGTATCAATGTGTTAGGTAGAAAAGTCAGCTTCTATTGTTTTGTGGCATTTAATCAAGAAGACTGTGTTGTCTAATGGTATTCATTTTTTTCCATTTTGTTCTTTAACAAACCTTTCCCTATCCTTTTAAGAAAAGATCTGGTTTCTTGTGTGCTTCAGGGACCCACAGCTTCAGGGACCCACAGGTCTGACCATAGCTGGCCTATCAGAGGGGCAATGGTTCAGGGGAACCCAGATCTAGGTCTTGACAGACCCCAAAGCATAAATGCCATGGAGACTAGCAACAGTTCCCAGAACCACCTTATGGAATCAGTTGGTCAAGTAAGGGCAGAACCACCAAAATACAGTGCCCCCTACTTCCAGCTCAGTTAACCTATCCAGAAGAATAACATGGATGATGGCAGCAAAAGCCACTGAGGAGTCCAGGAGAATCAACAGGGACATGATCCAGCTTTCACTCTTCCAACAAAAGTCATCTATCAGAGTGACCAAGACCATCTCCCACCCCCACAAATGCCAACCAGAATTGCTTTGTTAATATCAGATTACTTTAGTTGTTAAACCTTAAGAGTACTTTCATCATTAAACCTTCAAATACAGTATTGGTGAAGGAGAGATTTTCCATTTGACAGTCATTCACAATGCCTCCATTCTCTTAAAAATCGTAGTCAAAATGTTTTTTCCCCCTATCAGTGTTCTTTTCCTCTCTCTCAAACCTTGTGCATTTGGTTCTCTTGGCCCTTTTGCCTCAGCTGTTCCCAGCTGTTCTATGGCCCAATCTGCATCTGCTGTGTAACCCTGCTTCTTTCAGCTCTGGTGCTGGCTTCCATTGCCTCCCATTTGGCTCAGTATAAAAGCTTGCCATCTGCATCTTGTTTAGGGAGAGCGTGAGAGAGAGGGGGAAGGAGCAGCCTCTTGGGGGCACCAGCAGGGCACTGCACTGCACCACACCACACTGTGGGGAGGAAACAGCATCTATGACCCACCCTGCAGAAAGTAAACGGGGTGACCTGGGGAGGGGGAGATGGGGGGGCAGGAAAGACCGAACAAGCTGGGTAAAAACCACAAAACACCCGGCGATTGCCAGGCAGGGCATTCTGGGGACTGCCCCAGGAAATAGCAAAAAGTTGGGCATGTTTCCAACCACCCCCACCCCCATATCATTGCAGGAAAATGTTTCCTGGTTGATTTTAAATACAGATGACTGGATTTTCAGCTAACTTGTTTCCTTTGTGACAATTTCATATCTTCTTAGAAAAGATGGAGGGGGGATTTGGCTCCAGTTGTCTGCTTATCGCTCACAGCAGCTCAGAGGGCAGGGAGGAGCAATTAAACCATCTTAAAACCAAATCCACATAACATGGTGAGACACTGTAGTGACCTTGGAGTTGCCACTAAATGGCAATAAAATGATGCAGACAGCTGATGCTGAGACAAAGCAATATGAGAGCAGATGCAGAATGTGATGCAGACAGAAATTTGTTAGATGATGTGGAGTCGGTGGCATAATGGCAGGAAAGACCAATGTACATTGGACCTATGTCTTCTGACTTTCTTCAGCATCAACAATGCTCTGGGGTCTCTACCCAGATCTTTTAAAAACAGCCATCCTCAGCATTCTAGACTCGCTGCTAGGGTTGCCAGTCCCCAGGTCTGAGCAGGGGATCTCCCAATTTAGGGGGCTTCTCTCCACAATGGACCAGCTGGCAGGTGTGGGAAACCCCACACCTAAACAGAGACATCACCATGCAACATCCCTAATACAATGTCACCCAGAAATGACATCATCACGTTGGAGACGTTGTATGAGGGACGCTCTGTTTTTTGGCAAATTCTATGGTTTGGGGCCAAATTTATCATACAGTTTGCCAGAAAACCAGAGTATCCCCTGCATGACGTCCCTGCCCACCCCTGGAATGCCCCCAAATCCCAATGGGTAGATGAGGGGACCTGGCAACCCTACTCTCTGCCCAGATACAGAACAAATATTGAGGCCTGGAGACCTAAAATCCATACATAAAATCTAACAATACAGTTGCAATATGCAATATGCAATATGCATAGCATCTTCACTAGCTAATGCTGTAGCTTGTTTTATGTAAAAATATCTTCAATTTACAAATTTTGATTTATACTTTGTTATAAATTATTAGAGTTACTTAAACCCTCTACTAAAGCAAGAGCACAATGAAAAAAAACAATTTAGCAGTTTTATTGAAACCATTTTTTTTCTTTTTTCAGACATGGCTGACTGTTCCCAGTGTTCAATTGGCTATCTGCCAAACAAGGACCAAAATTATTGCACTCCCAAGATTGTAACATTCCTGTCTTTTGAAGAACCATTGGGCATTGGCCTTCTTCTTGTTATTTTTTCACTTTTTGTGTTCACAGCACTGGTGCTCAGAATATTTATGAAACACCACAACACCCCCGTAGTAAAAGCCAACAACTGTAACCTCACCTACACTCTTCTTATCTGCCTCCTGCTCTGCTTTCTTTCTCCATTATTCTTCATTGGCAAACCTGAGCCGGTAACATGTCTCCTCCGCCAAACGTCTTTTGGCATCATCTTCTCAATGGCTGTTTCTTGTATATTAGCAAAAACCATCACAGTGGTTGTAGCTTTCATGGCCACTAAGCCTGGAAGCAGGCTAAGGAAGTTGGTGGGGAAAGGACTGGCAAACTTTATTGTTCTTTTCTGTTCTCTTATTCAAGTATGCATTTGCTCAGCATGGTTGGGAGTCTCTCCCCCATTTCCAGATGTTGACATGCATTCAATGATGGAAGAATCCATCCTGGAATGTAATGAGGGATCACCTATCATATTTTGCTGTGTCTTGGGCTACATGGGTTGCCTTGCTTTTGTCAGCTTCTCTGTTGCTTTTCTTGCCAGGAAGTTGCCTGACAGTTTCAATGAAGCCAAGTTTATCACATTCAGCATGTTGGTCTTTTGCACTGTTTGGTTATCCTTTATTCCAGCCTACCTGAGTATCAAGGGGAAATACATGGTTGCTGTGGAGATCTTTTCCATCTTAGCATCCAGTGCTGGCCTGCTAGGTTGTATCTTTTTGCCAAAATGCTACATTATACTACTGAGGCCTGAGCTAAACAATAAACAACAGCTAATGAAGGTCGGTCCTTCTCAATTTCTTCCAACTTAAAAATTTTCTAGGTACAGGATGGGGTTCTATCAAGAGTGGCTTCATGAGAAAAAGCCAGGGGTTTGCTTAATCAATTAGGCTTCAGTTTTCAAGAATGTTGACAAACTATTAATGAAATGTGAACCTTTCTTTTAGGATTTCAGAGAGTATAGAAAGAAGATTTGCATTTGATGATGAGCATTTTCTGAGGAGGAAACACTTAGAGTAACTCTTCTATAATATCCAATGAACCCAGGTAGCTATCATCTGTAGTGTTGCCAGGTCTCCCAGTATGATGGAAGACCTCTTGCTGGCAACCCATGCTTCCTATGTTTTTATCATAGGGTGTCTGGTGATTCATAGAATGATGTGATGTGACTTCCAGTTTTCCTTGGAAGTGATGTCACATCACGTACAACAACCTCACCCCTCGATGCCCCAGCCTCCTGCCCATTTCTGGCTGGGTGCCAGCCATCAGGTGGCAACCCTAATCACCTCCAAAGTTTAAATTCATATGTGAACCTTTTTTTGGGGGGGGGATGAACCTGGTGCAAATTCAGTCCAAATAATTACACTTTTCAATCCTGTCTTTTATGATGCCATGTTGCTGTTTAGTTGTTTTACTCTAACAGACTTCTTTCCTTTAGGTCTGAGTTTACCTTCTCCCTTTGAGGTTTTTAGGGCAATGCAAAACATCCTTTTCAGATATTCTTTTGCATCCCTCTGATGAACATTCTTTGTCTTTTATTTCAACTTAGAATTTTACAGTAATTGCAAAAAATTGGAATGAGGGAAACATATTTCTTGTATACGGGTATATGGGCCCTGACTTGGACGGCCCAGGCTAGCCTGATCTCATCAGATCTCAGAATCTAAGCAGGGTTGACACTGGTTAGTATTTGAATGGGAGACCAACAAGGAAGTCCAGGGTCACTATGCAAAGGAAGGCAATGGCAAACCACCTCTTTTAGTCTCTTGCCTTGAAAACTGTATGGAGTCTCCACACTCCAGAAGTGTATGTGGAATGAGAATCATGTTTTGATTAAAGTCATTAACTTCATTCATGTTTGTCATATGATTTCATGTGCTTGTCAAACATACAAATAATATGTTTATATGTTTTATTGAATTATTTTATACATTATTTTAAAGGATGTTTTAATGTTCAAATTTGTTCATGATTGCTGCCTTTGGCTGGGTTGTCACTAATAGGTGAATGACATCTGTCTTATCCTAG